AAGCGACTGCAATCTGTTTAGTACCACGCCAGCAAAGGCTTTCCCAACGATATTAAGGATGGAGATTCTACGGTATGTTGTATCTTGGCTGCAGGAGTTGCCGGAAGGGTGACAGTAGTCAAGACCGCCTTAGGGGCTCCACTCCGGATTTTCTGTAAGGGTTTACTCCCTTAGCCTTTGTCTCTCCCGGGACTCTCACAAGGCAGTGAGGCTATTTACCTATAGCTGGGGATCTGGATCGTGGGTGCCAGGGCATATCCACACACCGGTGGCCATGTACACTGTACGTCTTGGGGCCAGACCTCCTCCGAGCCCTTGCAGTTCAGCCCGGGGCTTTATGGTACCCAGTTTCCACCCATCTCCACGTGGAGGCACTGGATAATACTAGCTCTCCTTTTCACGGTACTGCAAGCAGCGTTGCTAGCCAGCGGTGAAGGCTGAAAGCGAGAAGTGACAAGCACACAAACGCCCCCAACACACTAGACGCACCACACCGCATTTGATGAACCTGAATAGTGAATAGTTAATATAATTTGTATTATTTAATTACCATCACCATGAGCGTCAACAGCTTCTCAAATGTGTGTGTGGGGGGAACATTTTGAGGGAGCAGAGCAACCGAGCTAGGAAGCGACCGAGCGGGGGGAAGGGTGTGGGAGGGGGGCTTTCCCCCTCCCACGGTAAGGACTTTTTTATTTTGGGGTATTAAAAACAGGCGTTTTAATACATTGTAGAGCAAAAATCTAGCAAAGTTTATGATGCTGCAAAATTAGTAATTTATACAGAAAATACAGAAGTTTACTTTAGATGCTCTGTGGTGTGATCTGAGGCATTTTCCAACCATTCTCATTCTTTTTCTTTTTTTCATGCATACACCTTTTCAAGATTACTCTCATTTTTGAAAAAATCAACTTTTCTCTATAAGATTTAGATAACAATAACTTTGTAATAAGGGAAATTCTTACTTCAGAACTTGCCAAAAATCTGCCTACGACGGTTCTGAAAGTAGGGAGGACATGTCCCCCCTGTCCCCCGTTTGTTGACGCCTTTGACATCACTCTATTATTCATCCGGGCCAAGCTGCTGTGATGCAGCCGTTTCTGTGTCGCTATCGTTGATTAACATCACCAGTTCTCCGGCTCGATGCTATATATAGATATATGTTTATTTATTTATATATGCTCGTGGTGGTGACCTAGATATCGGCGTTGCGGCGAGAAGAGCAGTTTGTGCCTATCATACCCGAGAGTGAGCGACGCCTGCAGCTCGATCTATTCGTCGCACTAATACCATCGTGTGTAATAAATAACTTAATCCCTGCATGCCGCATCCTATCTCGTTCCTCTACCCAAGTTTCCCTAGTTTCAGCACTTTGATGTTCTGTTACTTGGATAGCTCAGAACAACTGATTGCATACCATGAAGCTCTGTGTTCTGACATCGGCGGTATTCTCAAGCTGACCATAGAGTGCACGATCTAACTCTTTAAATTAATCTAGTTTCAGTAGGTAGTTAGTTCATTGTTTTTTTCATTATAATTTAAGATAAATCCAAAGTCGATCACGACAGCTTGAGGAAGACAACAGAATGGAACTCTATCGCTTTTAAATATTTTGGATTTATCTCCAAATTCAATTATTTTACATTACAAAATTGTTTATTTTTAAAATTATTATATTGGAAAACGATAATTTGTTGTTAAATAACTTCTTGCAAATATATGAATTAATACAGTATTTTCGGTGTTCTTTGTCTATTATAATTTTACTACATACGATGCGGCCACCCAGAATTATGTATGCGATGTATGTTATTGTAAGTAACCCTTTCTCGCCGACAACATTAATTTATCCTACGATATACCTTTTTATAAATGCTCATTTCGCACAAAATGAACTGAGTGCGTTAATAACTGCTTATATATGTTGCATTTTAGGTAAAGATATGTGTACCCTGACCTCTATTTTGCTCAGAAGGTTAGCTCAGACAGTAGGTGCGTGTCCGACTTCGGACAAATGATCGACCAATGTCGCCATATGCGTCCTCATGTCCCCACGCCACCCCACAAACTACGCAACATGTGTTCCCTTGTGTGTCGCCACCAACATCTGCGCTCGGGAAAAGAAAGGAGAGAGGAGAACATCCATCGATAATGAGTAATTACATGCAACAAAGGAATGATGCGTTGAATTAATTATCATTATTGACGACAGCCGATGTTATTCGTCTCATCAACAAACAGCGAACAGATATTGGATGCATGTGGTCGCGTCAACAGAGAAACAGAGCCATGGAAACATGTTCCCCTCGCTCTCTTCCTCTCTCCTTTCACTCGCCCGACACCTACGCATTTTCCCTCCCCCTCTCTCTTTCTCTGCGTATATGCTCTTGTGAATATCGGCATTCGATACAGGTTAACGAGGTAATACGTCTCCAGGGTGAGTTAGACACGGCTTACGACTAGGAGCAAACGGTCGCACGGCGGCTAACCGGTCCACACGTTGCTCGACTCAGCGCTACGTTTCCTCATCCGTGCCGGACGACGCACTACTATTCACGACTCTCCGCTCTACCGCCGGCGCACGTCTTGTAAAGAATAAGGACGACGCGAGATGGAGAGACGTTCAACCGTGCGTTCTACGTTGATCGGTGTCCACGCCGTGCTGATCCTGGTAGCCATCATCCCACGGGTAAAGGGGCCAGGTAAGGGGACAAGCACAGAATCCAGAAGACATAGTAATAGACACATCATTTGTATAAGGAATACCGGAGAGTACCCGGTGTGGAGCGAGAGTGCTACCTAGGGTCCGGTTTATTATTTCTTCACTTCTTACTTCTTATCTTCCATACTTTTATTTAGAGGCCCGTTGTCACAAACAAAGTTATTCTTAACATTGGTCTTTACGTTAACTTTTTCTCGTAGACCGTAGACAGAAACATGATTAAGTTACGCAATAAAAAGTTTCGCATATGCAGTGTAAGCCTATAGTCCGGTATACGAGAAAAAGTTTAATGTTAAGACTAATTTTGTTTTTGACAACGAGCTTCTAGTAGGAAGTAAGAAAGTACAGAAATCATAATAAAAAACTAAATAAAAAACTAAACTATCTAACTAAAATAGATCTTTATATTTTTATCATTATTAATTTAATTCATTATTGTAACTCACATAATAATATAATTATGTTGGCATCACGATTATTATGAAAATGGCGTCTAGTATTTTTCGAAGTCCTTACTAAATTAATAAATAAATAAACTAATAAAATCTGGAATATTATTATGGAATTTATGATATAAAATTTCATTAGTTAATATAATATACTATATATATATATATATATATATATATAGTAGAAGTTCTTAATATGCACGATATCAGTTGTTATAGATTTTAAAAAAGAGAAAATTACCGACCTATTTATTTATTCGTCGGATTTATTCTTTATATATATATATATATCATTTTTTATTACCATACTTTACCAGCTACCCAAGTTGTAAGAACAATACTATTTTTTCCACGTATAATATACATCTCTAAAGTAGCCATTGCGGAGTAAACGTGCTTTCGCATGATTATACGTAGGAGGAGGTGATGGCATCGCTGTCAAAACACGATGAATAATTCAGGAAAAAAGCTCTGGGTCTCCTAGCCATCCGGACTCTACGGTAACAATCGCTATTGCCACCTATTCCATCAACGCAGGCGAGAATGATGCCCTTTAGTGACCATCTCTCGATTTCCAGACGATGGATCTGCGAAGGTAGGCGATTATGATCGAATGATGCGTTCGTTTGATTGACGTTGGAATTGCTTTTGGTCTGTTCATGTTCAACGTGTGGAACGTGGGTGTGACTGCTCTATCGTTATGCGATTCACACGCTAGATCTCGTAAAAATATCACAAGGAAGTAATAGGGTTTAGGTTGCCGGATCCACCCTCTCCACTCCCTCTCTCTCTTTAACCTTTTCTCTCTCTTCTTCGGATCCGCTCTTTCCCTCCTCTCTATTTTTCTCTTAACTCTCTCTCCACCGCTCTTCTCACCCTCTTTCTCACCTTTCTTTCTCCTTCTTACCTTCTATTCTCCAGTATTCTCTTTCCCTCCACTTGTGTCTTCTTTCCACTTTCTGTATGTCTCTTGTATATGAAATCATATAAAACATAATCATCTTATAAGCATCAGCCTAAAAACAGGCTCGCTTGTTACAAGATTATTCGGACAATTTGGCACGTCAAATAAAATTAAGGGCTCTTTCTTAATTAGTTTGAGCGCACTCATATAACAGAAGTAGATTGTACAAAGGTTCATAATTATAGTATACCAGTAATATATAGTATATATATATAATAGTAGTCTTATATCCTTATATTGCTGAATAGCTAAACAACCACGGAACGGTGCTCAGATGCTTTCGTTTAATATAATTAATATTTTATAAGGTAATACATTACTAAATTTCACACACACGGGGACACACACACCACACACACACACACAACACACACACACACACCCACACACACACACACACACAACACACACACACACCACACACCCACGACACACACACACAAACACAGACACAGACACACACACAGCGCACACGCACACACAGAGAGACAGACATACACACACACACACACACGAGCACAACCACACACACAGCGAGGACCACCACACACGCACACACCACACACACACAACACACAAATATATATATATATATATAGTTAGAAAGATCGAGAGGCGATTACATCTATGCGCTGTGCCTGGTCCCGTTGAGCCCTGCACCCCGAGTGTGCTGCATCTTTTCAGCTGTGACACTACCAACAGGCGTGGGCTTCGATGATTCGTCATTGAGTTTACCAGCGTAATAACCGACCAAATACCCGAAAATTTGCTAAAACATGTGATTCCGGGCGACACCGGTGCCCCTCCCGCAGACAGTTGCGGGACCCATGTTTCAGTCGTCTGTGCACGCAGCCGAATTACAGTCGAAGCGGGTGACAGGATTTCAACGCAACGTATTCGAAATCAGGTACGTGTGTGGGATGGAGCGTTTCTTTCTGGTTTTTTCCCGGCGCGAATGAGGAGATGATAGAGGGACAGAGAGACAGGACAGACAGACAGAGAGAGAGAGAGAGAGAGAGAAAGAAAGAGAGAGAGAGAGAGAGAGAAAGAGAGAGAGAGAGAATGAGAGCGAGAGAAAGGGTGTGAGAGGAAATCAGATATCTCGTTCCCTATCTCGTTCCATATCGAGATTTTTTTTTAAACAACGAACGCAATAATGATAAATTATGCAATAACGATGCTTTCATTTCAGGCAACTGCAAGAGTGCTCGGGAGTGGAAGTGGTACTTAAGCGGAAGCGGAAGCGTGTCATTGTACCGCACTGAGACGAACGCAGAGAAATTTAAGGACACGAACTGCAAGCACGGGTCCAGTTTAGCCAGCTATAGCTCCCAAGCTGAGCTGGACTTCATGCTCTCACTGTTAGTACCCATTGCTCGTACTTACTTGTAATGTTTTCGTATTGCTGGTATAATCGAAAAAATAACGTACGAAACAGACGTTGTCAGATCTAGAGAGCCACCTATATACCAAAGAGAGAGTGCTAATAGACACGCATCTTCCTACACAATTTTGAGGGGGAAACTGTCTAAGATGTCTAATGTTAGTATTAATGATGATGAATAATAATAACAATAATAAGAATAATAAGAATAATAATAATAATAATAATAATAATAACGACAATAATAAATATTCAATCATAAAACAATTCATGCCAATCGAGTTTGGTTTGTAAAATGTTTGCAGATACTCGGGGGAATGGATGTGGATCAGTCAGAGCAACTACGTACTGGGTGATGACGGGTTGCTGTCGCCTGTAACCGGCTGCTCCAACAACTGCGAAGAGGAAGGCGTCATGTGTCTCATCGGTAGTTACGCTCTAGGCCCAGAGTTTCGCGAGTGTAAAGATAGAGGAGATTACATGTGCGAGATGACACCAGGTACGTGTGTCGCACGAAGAACGCGAGTGCACGAGTGAGAGAGGAAGAGAGGAAGAAAATGATGAAGGGGAGGGAGCGAGGGAGAAAGGAAAGAAGTGACAGAGGGGCAGACAGAGAGAGAGAGAGAGAGAGAGAGAGGGGGGCGTGCGGAAGCAAGAGCGGGATAGATAAGAGGAGGGAGGGAGAGATGAAAGGATGGAGTGATGGAGGGAGAGAAAGAAGTAGGGGGTGAGGGAAGAAGTGAGGGAAGGCGGAAGGGAGTGTGGGAGCCAGAGAAGAAGCAAAAAATAGGGGACGGTGTGAGCGAGGGAGAAAGGGGGAGGGACGGATGAAAGAAGTGAGAGAGGGAGAGAGGAGGGAAGGAGGAAGGGACTTAAACAAATAATATAATTAGCACATAAACAGTTTATAGACGGATGCGCTAGGATCGTGTGTGTATGGAGGGAGAGGCTGACTCGGCTCTGCTGCCTCCTAACGGCACTATCGGCTCTATTTCTGCGTCTCATACTCCTGCAGAAACATGGTCGATTGAGTTCGATAACTGCTGCTCGACACCCTGCCTTCACGGAGGTACATGTACGGAGGTGGTCGGCCCAGATCCGTTGTACACGTGTGACTGTACCGATACTGGATATACGGGACTTCAGTGCGAAAAAGGTATGCTAGTGTGCTGGATACGATGCTTGAACATCACTATATTATACTAATGTATGGTGTTGCAATTATATTCCCATGACAATAATTATAACAATAATAATAATAATAATTATAATAATAATTATCATCTACAAAAATTTAATAACAGTTATATATATGGCCATCTATCGGGAAAAAATAGCGTAAACTGAAAATTCTCAGGTAGGCCTAACGGGAGCTGTGTCATTAGAGAAAATAATCATTCCACTTTATTTACGATAGAATGAGCTTTTTCCATATACATAATAAACCCTAACATCGCCCTACATATTCTCGCACTCCTAACACATATAATGCTCTTGACTCCGATAGAATTTCACAACACTGATCCGCCGAAAGAGCTGATTATTGATGATTCATCTCGCGGTCGCTTCTCCAGGTCGAAGATGCCCAACCACCCCGAAACTGTCGCATGCTAGGGTCAGAAAGACGGGCCGGATTATGGACAGCACGGCCCTTATCACCTGCCATACAGGGTACGAGACCAAGGAAACGTCATCAATGACAGCCATCTGCCATCTCAGTGACGGCACGATGCAGTGGGTGCCGCTGACCTCCGATTGCACGAGTGAGTTTGAAAAGTTCCGCTTTGGCGTTCACGTTCTTCAATAGTGACGATATATAAATAAATATATATATATGTATATATATATGTATATATATATATATATATATATATATATGTATATGTATATAATATATATATATGTATATATATATGTATATATACTGCTGTACGCCAAGGCGATGTACGGTACGTGTAGGTTATTTTTATTTGCTATTGCGTAGTTAGTATTACTTTACTTTTTATTACGTAGTATTTTATTTG